TTTGGAAAACTATCCCAAAGCTCTGCCAACTGTCTGAGCTACGCAGTCAGGTCGGTTCGAGTATGTGATATTTCGGAACAGAGTTTAGTTCCTTCGATATCAATGTAATCTAGTAATCATGCATGATTTTTTCTGTGTTGGTGTAATTTGTTAATTAAGCTTGCCCGGTGTGGATATACACTCAGAGTAACATCACAAGCATCATATTCACCTGAGTACATTGCACCAACACAGAAAAAATCATGATTGATTACACTGATATCGAACTAGGAACTAGATTCGGTTCCGAAACTCACATACTCGAACCAACCTGACCGCGTAGCTCAGTTGGCAGAGCTTTGGGCTAGTTTTCCAAAGGTCGTAGGTTCGATTCCCACCGCGGCCAGGCGTATATATTTTTCAAGCTTGCCCGGTGTGGATATACACTCAGAGTAACATCACAAGCAATCATATCAGATGTAGTTCTCTTTCGGAATTTTTAAACCTAAAATACTCGAATGCTTGTAGTATATTACCTGCGTATTAGTTCCCTTACACAGTAGCACGCAGACACGCATTATAAGGCCAGTGTGAACGCCTGAACAGGCGTCTTGTCAAAATAAGAATGTTTATGCCGATACATGTTGGCAGTTTATGCTAATCAAGTTAACTAATTCCCAAATGAGTCAAGCACATCACGTGCACAAACAAATTTCGTAATCAGCTCTAACATTAAAAATAGGTACGCAAAGCGTACATGTATCTGCGAAAAAACTTGATTCACATTTTGTATTTCCTTGAAAAGAACTGAATAATGATGAAGATGACATGGGACAATTGAAATATTTCATCACTTATTATTATAATAAATATAATAGCAAATAAGACTTTAGCCGAGGGCAGCAAGGACAACTGCCCTCTCCCCCCCCGCCGCCGATAAAATGTAACTAATTTTATATAAATGTGATTATGATTGTATGCAAACAATATTTGAAGTGTCTATACAGCCAACAGCCGGCTATTTAGTAAACTGTCAGCTGTCACTTGTCAAACCATGAAGTTTCAAAACTCTATTGTAATCATATGATCAGCAAAAGTTCTGTCACTTGTTGTTTACAGTTGCCAATGTTAGCTAGGGGTGCACTGGAACTCGGCTCCGGTCGGAACCCTGATTTGTGAGAGTTCCGGTTCCGGCCGGAACTAATAAAAAACCATGGCCGGAACCGGAACTTTGTCCTTTTCAGAGAGATAGAATATCAAGTTTATTTATTGAATAGCATAGGACGAAATTTGGACTACACAAGATAAATGTACACTATTAATACTTTATTATGACGTTTAAGTGAATCTTTTTATTCTATAACATTTGCATGCTCTCTGAGGCTCTCTCCTTGTATCCTGATTAAACTGCGCTTTAAAACGTTCGACATAAAAATATGACTATCAAAATGAAGAGAGAGCCTCAGAGAGCATGTCAACAATAGTCGATACGATTTCGCTTGGGGTAGCCTCACATATCGATTTTGTCCATATCGATTTTGTCCATATCGATTTTGATAATATATATTGATAATATATATTGATAATATATATATATATATATATATATATATATATATATATATATATATATATATATATATATATATATATATATATATATATATATATATATGCATGAAATATTGATAATTTTAGCGCGTTTTTCTTGAAGTTTGAGTGTTTTCAATACAAGGAAGGCGTAATAATATCAATGTATAGGTATAGAACAGGTATGGTATTACGAATATATAGACTGCTGTTTGTATCAAATGGTTTTCTTTTTTATATTCTGCAAAGATAAAAACTATCGAATTTTCCCATGATGTTCACAGAGAAACGTCACAGCTGCCAACCCC